AAGGGGTCACATGCCGACGGTGGTGCTTATTTTCAATTGAATTGTTTAATTATTTTTAACCTAGTACTTGGCTTGATATTGTTAGTCTCACCCTCACCCAATATACCTACCATATATAGGGTATCGCAGAAATAATTATAAATAAATGTACTCAAAGATTCGATGGTATGTAAGTTTTCACATTTCGAAAATGTTGTTATGCCGAATACAACCACTCACATATATTAACAAACTCCGATATATATAGTAATTGAAACACCAATTCCGTTTCTCCTATCGTTTATTTGTACATATATGTATGAATGCACTTAAATTTGGTTACATGTTTTACGAGAACTACAAGATCTTTTTTTTGTCAACGAGAACTATAATGTGATCGAAATTCATTGTTATAACTGATACAATTAATTCGATTTCTTAAGATGGTTAAACTAGGAAAAAACAGTCAAATAGGCATTGTATGCAATCTAAAAACCGACTAAAAAAAAACTGTCGTTGTAAAGATTTACGAGGTTTAAACGGTATGGATGGCTGATTAGTTAAGTGATATAGGCGGCCGACTGTTTTATTTTAATTTTATTGAGAAAAAGTAAGACTATTGTTTAATATATATAATCTCTTTCTAAATATTATATATATATATATATATAATTTATTGATATAATAGATTTCATGCTCAAGATTATGGGTATTATAAAAGATGTTTGTTTCATTGTGCATGAGACTTTGATTAAAAGAATTATTGTCAGAAACTAAAATCACACTGACTGAAGTTAAAGATCTAAAAAATCAAATTTAAATATAGTAACAATGATAAAAGAAGGGAATGATTTTTTTTTTTTGAGAAATGTAGGTATATACAATATACAGCATAGCTTAAATAATATAATTTTTATATTATATTCATATACAAGTATAGATTTATTTGTTTAACAGCGTAACTATAGTACATCATTTCTGTGTTTAACGCCTAAGTTTAATTATTATTAACGACTATATTTACACATTCTGAAAAATAACATCTAACCCTGATTTTTTGAATTCATTCTTGTTATCGTTTTTACATTCTAATGCACCTACTACATAACAAAAATCTGTATATACTTCATTATTTGCATATAATAACTAGTCATCATATAATATTTTAAATGTAGTTCAGTTTCATATGCATGATGATCATTATATCGGCTAGGCTGAAATTATTATAGAAACCGATGGAATTCTCTTTCCGGAGGAAGCTAGAAATTTCAATGCTTTACCGGAAATCAGTGGCAAATCCAATATTGTTACAAATATTATATCTGACTTAGAAGTTTTGATTAGTGATACCTCGTCGATCCAGGCTGACAATTTGTTAATCTATTTATACGTATATGTAACCATTAGTTACTACTGGTTGATGACTAATTCAAGGGTATCATTAAGAAAATGTATCGTTATTTATTCCAGTGAAGAGTATAACATACGATGTTTTTCGATATGAACACATATAAGTGAAAACATATTTGGTAGGTTTTTATTAAGTACACTTTGTCATTTGCCAATGCATCTTATTGTCTGGTTTTCTATCGAATCAGTTGACTTTTTCCATTGACTTAAGTTAGAAGCCTTTCTTTCAACAATTAATATATAAATATTTCGGGCCTAGTGTTAATGTATATGGACCAACACTGGTCTGACTATTGAACTAATATAGTTTAAAATTGAAGATAATCGGTATTTCGCTCCTATTGACACTATAAATAGAGAGAAAAACCAAGCAGAAATGGAACCAAATCAAAGTTGTTAATTTTATAGTTATTGGAA